AAAGCGCAGTTAGTGTACATATAAAGAATTATTTAGATTAATCAATTACACGTACAAGTTTGTATTGGGTACAAACATTCTCAAAAACACCCTTACTCTGATACCTTGAAAAACCTTTCATCAATGTTACTATAGGTATCCACATGTACGTTTAATACTTTGAAGTAGTCAATTGATGAATGCATATGTACATAAATCAATACATGCTGCAGAACATGGTTATTTTTTCTAAGGGGTATTTGGTATGCGGCTGAAGAAGTTGAATTTTTGACTGGAGCTTGGGATTTAATTATTCATGTCCAATAGGAATTCCATGAAGTTTCCTAACCCCCCTTAAAAAAGCATATCTATTAAGTGCCCCCCCCCCTCCCCCATAACTACGTCCGAGAACTTTTTTGCTTGGTAGTGCCAGTCTAAACTAAAAATGTATGCCCCCCCCAACTGAATTATTTTGTACGAGTATGGATATATAGATTAAACACTTCTACAGGACTCCCCTTTTCACCTTCTATTTATCTACATATTTCTTAAAACAAAATGATGTTTTACATTTACCTTTTATTAGGTCACCTGAGTCAGGTGACCTATTGCTATCTGTTTTCAACTGTCGTCGTTCGTCGTCAATCGGTCGTAAACTTTTGAACTTTTTTAGCTTCTTCTCTGGAACCACTGAACCAATTTCGACCAATTTTGGCATATAGCATCTATGGGTGAAGGGGAGTAAAAATTGTGAAATTCATGGCCCCTGCCACCATCAGAATTAACGCTATCTTTAAAAATCTTGTTTACTCCTGGACATTCAGCAGTCAAACTGTTGGCATGATTGTAATAAGCATTGAGCCCTCTACCAAAATTGTGAAATTCATGCAGGGTCAGGGGTTCTGGTGCTAGGGCGGGGCTCCAATGATTATATAGTGAAAATGCATTAATTCTTTGAAAATCTTCTCCTCTGCTCCTGGGTATTAAGCAATGTATTAAGTACATAGTAATGTTGAGCAAGAGTGCCTCTTCCAAAATTATGAATTTCATGGCCCCTGGGTCAGGGGTTCTGGTGTTAGGGATGAATATATAGTGAAAATGCATTGATTCTTTGAAAATCTTCTCCTCTGCTCCTGGGTATTAAGCCGATGAATTAAGTACATATTTATGATGAGCAAGAGTGTCTCTTCCGAAATTGTTAATTTCATGGCCCCTGGGTGAGGGGTTCCATGGGGGGGGGGGGCTTATTTCTATATACTGAAAATAAATTAATGCTTTGAAAATATACTCTGCTCCTGGGTATTAAGCTGATGAACTAAGTACATAGTTATGATGAGCAAGAGTGCCTCTTCCAAAATTGTGAATTCCATGGCTCCTGGGTCAGGGGTTCCATGGGGGGGGGGGCTTATTTATTATATACTGAAAATAAATTAATGCTTATAAAATCTTCTCCTCTGCCCCATGGTATTAATTAAACAAACTGTAAACATAGTTATGATGAGAAAGGATGCCTCTTCCGAAATTTTGAATTTCATGGCCCCTGGGTCATGGGTTCTTGAGCTTGGTTGGGGTTTATTCATTAATTAGCAAAATGCATTAATGCTTTGAAAAACTTCTCTTCTGTCCCTGAGTACTAAGCAAACAAGCTAAATGCAATAGTATCAATGTAAATACATGTATTAAATATAATTTTAAGTAAATGTGTCTTTTCTTTGTTTGTGGGTATCTAGGAGGCAGAGTACACAATTGTGATGTGAAGCAAATGAGAGTTACTCCCCTTTACTTAATATTGTTAATCAAGAAGTCCTTGTATATAATTTAATTAACAGGTTATTTGATTGAATGAGAATACAAGAAAGAATGTTATATATACATAGAAACAAAATAAAAATGAATATTTGGTTTAAATGAGCAAAATATACTCAAAGTCAGATTCTTGCCTGGAAAGCAGTATAAAAGATTGATATAAAGATTATTTATATATTTAGCAAAAGTTGTAATTGTATACAGTATGTTTACACTGTGGTGGTCTAAGTTAGTGCCACTGGTAGAAGAGTCATGGTTGACAAGAGAGTGGATGTTGTTTTATACTTAATCAAAGTGAACAAAGAATCACAGAGAGCCAGGTTGACTTATTGTAATTAGTGACAAGTGGCAAATAACCACGTTGTATATACCCAAGTCTTTGCATGTACTGAATTGTAGCACTAGGCAAGTACAAAAACATATCTGAATATATTGAATAGCTTACACAATAGGCAAGTGTCCTTTGTATTTGTATATTTTGCATTCATTATCATCCCTGTAAGACTTGGGAAAACCAAGTATGATCCAAAGGAGATCAATCGGGTCTAGCACGTTACAAGGAAGAGTATTTTTACCAGATTTTTAGCTCACTTCAACGAAGTCGAGATGAGCTCATGCTATACCCTCGATGTCGGCGTCCTGGTTAAAGTTTTAGGAGCAAGTCCATTCCCAAGTAACTATAAACCCTACCTGGACCAACCTTGCATGGACGATGCATCTAGGGATGGACACTACCACACTTGCTTCGGATGCTGGATCTGACCTAGATTTTCCAGATGAGTGACCAGGTTAAAGTTTTTGGAGCAGGTTTTTTTCCAAGTAACTATAAGTCCTTCTTAAACCAAACTTGCATGGATATTGATCTATGGATGTACACCAACTAGAAAAAAATATGATGTGAGATTTGCCTTACTTATAGATAACATTTGTCGAGGTGAGCTTCGTAAACTTTGATTACCTATGTTTGAAATTCTTGGGCAACACTGCTTCGTCTATCAGTTAATTTTGGTTTATACTTCCATGGATCCTTTAGTGTTGTATTATACTCAGGTGACCGTTAAGGTCCTTGGGCCTCTTGTATTTGAAGCCTTCAAATCAATAACGGATTGACATAACCTCACTTAGTTCAAGTACTCTTTTCTTTTGTCTTTGTAAAGCGTACATGCGATATAAAATGGCGAAAATGACGGTGAGGCTGCACCAACACCCGTCCTCAATTTATCTCTTAACCAAATTTTACACTACTCTGTCAAATATTTTGTAATTTATTAGTACGAAATAAATCAAAGTGAACACATGTGATGGTCAACAGCAGGAGCGAGCATCTTGCATTGATAATAAACATGAGAAGGAGAAGGGGGGTCTGATATGTCTGCAGCCAGCACTGTGTTTTATTAAATAAAAAAAAAATACAAACAATTTTCAAATTAATTATTTAACACATATTCACTTAAATTATCGTATTATTGTAACTTGATTTGTTCTTCTCATTAAAAATTAATTTGAAAAAAAAAACACTAAGGTACTTTAGTAGGCCTAGTGCAACGTGCTCAGAAAATCGTTTTATTCTCATATCCAGATATCTGGCCTTATCCTATTATATATATTTATCATTTATGCGTTTTGTTACATTCTGAAGTGTATACATCATAATAAGAATAATACTTGTACGAATTAGTTCATCTGTTAAGACCGAGACTTTCCGTTACTGTTATGAACACTTACCTACGATGGCCGATATCAGCCATGACACTCTACAGTTAAATTAAGTGTAAAGTGACAGCGTTTTGTACACGTTACGTTGTCTGCTTTCTTATAGCTTTTGTAAAGTGTACAACGTTCACACCAAAATTTCAGATCAGTTTTCGCACTCATACTGCTAGTAATGTGTGATCTGACTTCGTTTTCACCGTTGGCAGTTTACACTTAACTCGCATTAAAATTCTTTGTAGTACATAAAAAAAATCTATAGCGTTTGAAAACAGTGGGGGCCGTTTGCAAGAGGTCAAATAGATCGTAAAAAAGGCGATCATTTAATTTCCCAGCCTCGAAATTTTATTAAGAATATATGACCATGGATATTACCAAGGAAGAAAGAAACAAAAAATGGAGGAACTATGTTACAAAAGTGGTAAGCTTTTATATGTATATAGCATTATATAAACATATATGTATCATAGGCGTCGGAACGGGGAGGGAGGCAGAAGGGGGGAGCTTAGCCTCCCCCTCAACTTTTTTGCAAAGCAAGATATCGAGACATAATTAATTAAAAATTTGGACCTAACGCCCTAAACGTTTGTTTTTGGTGCTTAAGCCACCCCTTTCTATTTGCATCTGACGCCTATAGGTATATATATTCTGGGTTCACATTGTCAACATATATATCGAATCTTAGTGATATTTTTGCAAGGTTTACCCGTATCACTTTACCCGGCGTCTGTCGATCTGTCTGTCCGTCTGTCACACCTTGTATCTCAAGAACTGTAAGAGATATGGACTTGACATTTAGCACATTTATTGCTGGCACTATGGCATTTGAAAATTGCCATGCCCATGGCTAACGACCTTGTGACTCTTGACTGACCCTTGACCTTTGACCTACTTTACTAAAAAGTTAAAAGTGCCAATTTACAGCATAATTTTGACATTTAAGGGGCAATTCTTTGCTTTTTTGCATGTGCACTGATTGTCGTAAAACATTATGAAAATTTACTTGACCTTTGACCTACTGTACAAAGAATACCCCGGGCAATCTAATTTAAAATAAGGCTTTAGAATTTTGAGTGGCGGGTGTTGATAAATTATTTGTAATGATTTCAACTTTTAGGTTCATCTATTTGAGATTTGGTAATCATTTTTTGAATGACAGACTCTTTCGCAGTTTTCCTCTTCTTTTTTTATTTAAAGAAAAGCAGGCGACACATGCGTTCCTTAGAAAACTCTAAGTTTTTTTAAATACTGGAGTAAATTTGCCTCATTTTTCATTTCTAGATGCAGATGCTCTTCTGGTGTTAAATAGCAAAGGTTTTACATATAAAGAAATATCAAAATTGTTTCAGAAATTTAAAAACAAAGACATAAGATAAGATGTTTGAGATTTTTATATTTTGTTTATCAATAATAAATTTATTACAAATTTTGGTTATACACTGTATTGGGTTTTGTTTGTTTATTTGTTTATTTGTTTGTTTATTTTTAATAGTGTGTATTTTACTTAACAGAGTCAATGCTATAGGTAAGCGACTGAAAAGATTAGGTGTGCCTTCTCGTCGGAACACATCAAATGTGCCGCATAATGTCACCAAACAAGTTATAGAGGTAAAATTAAAGTATGCTAAGTTATGAATGAAACATTAACTGCTTAACTATTACAGACAATCCAACTTCTTTTCGAAAAATAAAATTTGTTTAGATGGTAGCTATCCAAAATCAAAAACGATTTTACGTAAGGTATCATTTTCACATCTAGGTCAATACCAACATTGTGATTACGTATACAAGTGGAGAGAAAAAAAAAACAATAATCATATGTTAAAATGACATAAAACATTTTTTTTTTTTCAGAATCTATTACCTAATCTTTCCGAGACTGTGGGTACAGATCTTTAACATCCATTCTTCGAAGAAAAGGTTACGCCGTCCAAAGGTAAATAAAACTTTATACTTTGTCCATCCATTGTACTTTCATTACATTTTCATTTTTATGTAGCGTTTTTAAAATTATACATTCAACATTTATATTTTAAATATAAAGACAAGAAATGCTTAAATGCTTTCTTTCTTCTATTATACGAGAATAACAATTGCAAAAAAAAAAAGAAAGAAAGAAATCTCTACTCTTCCAGAGTATATTCAACTATAGGTCATCTACAGTTTTTTTTTAATTTCAGCTGCAAAAATATACGTTAGAAAATCATGACTGTACAAATGCAATGTGTTTTTATGAGCAAACAAGAGTCTTAACGTTCACCTGAGTATAATAAAACCCTGTGAAGGATGCAGAAGGGCAATTAAATAATCATGTGATAAAGCAAAATAAACTGATGGACGAAAATATACTAATATTGCTCTAAAAGCAGGAGAAAGGGGGTAGTCACGTATCAACACATAGTTATGTCGGATAATTTGAAAAGGTTTTGTTTTATAAGGTTTAAAAAGGACGCAGAAGTGCGGCACATTATCCCACATGGAATTCATCCATTGCTACTAGCATAGCAGTCCGAAATATTTGACGTTTTGTTGTTTTTTTTTTTCACGATTTTGATACTTTACGTGCCAAGACGTAAAATATCAAAATCTTGAAAAACGTCTGGAAAACGTCAGATATTTCGGACTACTAGCATAGGTGATAAAATGCATTAAAAGGCTTATGATAGAGTTAAAAAATGAACTGGTTTATAAAACATTAACATGCTGCTCAAATATTTCGTTTTTACCGACCTTTAAACCATTTTTTTCCAATGCTGCATATACATGTACAGTATAATACGGAGTATTATGTGACGTTTTATTTGGTTATCAGTTTCTAGTATTTTTTTTCTGAAATCTTAAATTATACACAGCAATTACGTCAGATGATGTTTGATCTGCTTATCGTTATTTTCAAAATCCCCTACAGCAATTTTTATGAAGGTAATTCTTGCCTTTTTCACGATCCAAAGATTTTTTTTCTATAGGGATGTTGTCATGAAATTACTAAGGGAATTGGACCCCGAAGGCACTAAAATCAGAAGGAGGAGGCGAATCCTGAGAAGAACTTACCATTCAATCGGACCCAATCAAATCTGGCATGTCGATGGGTATTCTCTTTTATCTATGTATTGAGAAACACTTCCGACTGAAATATCATATTGTAATAGTTCTTTGTCAGTGAAATTTTTTTCTTCAAATTTCAGATATGACAAATTAAAGCCATATGAATTTGCCATCCATGGGTGTATTGATGGGTGAGTCCTTTGTTGACTTCATATGGATTGCATGTTAGCGTGCAGATAGACATAGTACCCCAACATTTCTTCAACATAATATTTTGTCCTGTTCAGAAACCAACTGCAAAATAATGCATAAGACAGCACAGCATTAGCTAGATTATTCTATATAGCGCCATCTTCTACAAAATATTGATTTTTTTTTTTATTATGCGCCCGGATAGATAGAACATTTATTTTGTATATGTTTTCTTTTACCGCTTTGTTGCAATGAGAAATATAAAATGGTAAAAGAAAGTATCAATTCATAATAGATGATAAATATCAAATGCAGATATTCCAGAAAATTGATGTGGTTACAAGTGGGTCCTTCAAACAATGATCCAGCCATCGTAGCCTCAAATTATGTGGAATGTGTACAAAATATGAAAGGTAGATTTATCCCTCACAACCATCAACTTCAGCATTTTACTTGCCTTAATTTTTCATGACAAAAATATAATAGATACTGCATTTTTTTCCACCACGGTGTCCTCTAAATTTGCAAGCAGACCCAGGAACTGAAAATATAACCATGGGCGCTCTTCAGTGTTTATTTCGACACGATGCTGCTGATGATTTTGCCGGACTCAGCAGTTTTAGAGTTTCGCGTTCTGTTTTCAACCAGGTGAGAAATCATAATGTATATAATAATAAACATTTTTGTGTTGCTTTTTATTTTAAGATTTCAAAGCAAAACTTTACTTGTGTTTGTATTGGTTTTCTACACAATACGCAGAGAATAGAGGCCTGGTGGAGTTTATTTAGGAGACGTAAAAGTCAATGGTTGATGCATTTCTTAAAAGATCTTGAACTTATAGGAGTTATCCATCGTGGTATCATCAATGAACGTTTGTTTTTCTTTAAATCTCACCGTATTTGTTTAAAACTTGCCTAAAACATCATCCAACAGTTTAAAATAGGGACTATATACTGTTTGTTTAAAGTCTACGTTTATAAATGGCAATTTACTTTTATTTCAGTTACTGTCTGCGCTATTGTTTCATGCCAGTGTTACAACTAGAGTTATCTCAGATAGTAGAGGAGTGGAACACACATTTCATATCCCATAGCAGAGTCGCACAATGTCCTAATGGCCGTCCAGACATTTTACACTCGTTAGGTAATAGTTTTTTTTTCCGAAATACCAAATACTATGTAGATTCGAATTTAATATTTTGAAAGAAACCCAACACCATAGTGCTTCAAGATGTTTTCTTTCAGGGGGCCAAGACTGTTTGCAGCCATTAAATGAAGACGATATTGCCTTAGCCCTGAATGAAGTTAAAGTTAGTAGTATAAGTGGTTCTGTACAGTTTGATGGACCAGCAAATCAAATATTTGTGAATAGAGGCATGTCAGATGCCAGTGATTGGACCGAAGCTCTGCATAATTATGTGGAACTGTTGTCAACGCTTCGAAATATGTAACATCTTGTCTAATGATTAACTGAACATTCATATCTGTTTATTACTGTATAATGTGTCATAATGTGCATATTGTATCATTGCGTTGCTGTTGTACTGTCATGTTGTATTGTTAATTTTGAATAAACCTTCTAAACGAGTTTAGATATGGGATGGATTTGGGAATTTGTAATCAGGTTGGGGAAATTAGCCGTTCAAGTGGCTTTGCTTGGTAAGTTTCCACGTAAGGTCTTTATGCAAAATTTGCAAATGCTGCAAATAATAAAACAAAGTCGGAATGCGGCTTGTCGATAAGTATATTTATGATGAAAGCTTGCAATGGAATGCAACAACATGTTAAAATCAAACACATAATATGTTAACATGACAATTCTTAACACTAAGACAATAGATGGCTTATCTATGCCTCGGGGTTATTCCCCTTGGCTGCCATCTTGTAGAGCAAAGTAGTGCACGCTTTGAGCGAACAATTTTTTAACATGCATGCCAGAAATATATGGGGAAAAATATTTACAATCTTGAAATTATTAATGAAAAGGGTCTTTAACAAAGGTATTTCCATAAGGAAAACAGTGTTATCTTTTCCTCAGTTCCCAGTGTAACAAATTACACCACAGGCACCTGAAGTATGGATATTCAACTCCCCCCCCCTTTTTAATTAAAAAAAAATGCAAGAGTGTATAATATCTCAAAAATAAATAATTTTCCCGTCGAACACATCTATATGTCGCTCCATGCAAGCAGATTTTACTTTTTTTCTCTCGTTAAAAAGGGGGGGGGGGATATCCATACTTCAGGTGCCTGTGATTGAACTTGTACAATATAGCGGTCATGCTTAAATCACCTCAATTGGAAACAATAGATAAACAATTACAAACGGATTAGAATTTTTTTTTCATCATAATGTCACGACTTATTACACAAATACTTTATCGTAAACCATTTTTGAATGAAAAGAACATATTTACAAACAAACTAAATAAAAAAAATAAAACTAAACACAAGGGAATCAACACCAATACTGCGTACTGAGTAACAAATACTTATATAATTAAATTTGAACAGAATAATGCTAAACTAAGCACACATATTTATTGTCTACAAATTCCATGATTTTGTACTTTGCCGAAAAATAAAAAAAAAAATATTGTCAAAAATTCAATTTTATTTGGGAGCAAATAATTGGGTGCAAATAAACAAAAATTTTGAAATTATCGTATGACATTTAAAATTTAAAGAGTAAACCTTTGGTAAGATAAAAAAAATTTATATATATGGACAAACATATAATATTTAGAAGGTTCTCCACTGTCCCCATTCTTCCTTGATTTGAAATGCACCCCCCCCCCCTCTCCCGTCTTCAAAGAAAATCAAGAATTCGCAATTTTTGTAATTTCTGACTGAAAATGATTATTTCTCAGGAATATATCAATTTCAACTTTTTTTAATGAGACGTTTCAGCTCTTAAAGATGAATCTTTTTCCCTAAAATGCAGAGTACGGGCATGTACCTTTAAAATGTGATAATGCGGTATACACGTATACATAAACTTAACATTTTGTTTCTTTGTCATATCACTCAATGAACGTAAAATACACGTTAACAAATGTGTATCAACCCTACATATCTGATTTAATTCAACACATTTCTGTCATTTATAATTACAAGAGGAGTGCACAAGTTTTAAAAACTTAATACGCCCTTGTCCTGCAAGTACAAGATGTATATGACAATTTTTTAAGAAATGAAATTATATATAATTATACTTGTAGGGATGATATACTAGTATCCTTTTGTTGACCAAAACAAAAACTCTTTTATTGTGTGGCAATCTTTGTGTCCCTACCGCTGTATCCAAATGCAGGGATTTCTTTTTGTAGTTTTGAAGACTTTTTAATTGCAGATAAGAGTAAACTGTCTATTAATAACAGTTTAATGTACACTTCACATTTTTTCGTGAGCAATGTGAGTGCTGTGACAGATCTGAAAACTGCGGTTTGAAGCACTACTCAAAACCAAAATGGTCATTCAAAAAAGCAAAATCTAACAGGTCATAGTTAGTTGGCTCAATAGGTAGATATAACCTGCAAATACAGGTATTAGCAGATGGTAACAGTTCTTCGCTGAAGATGATTGTTGGTCTCAGAGTGAACCCCCAGTACAGGGATTTCTGCAGATCCAGTGAAGAACTTCAAACTTTCCCCCGTGTTACGTCCCCTCCAACTCGGCGTCAAGCTATATGAAATAGAAATATACATTAAATTAATATAGGCACATATTATGTTGTGAACGTTTTGAATCGCCGCATGAACCGGCTATTCCTCTGCCCACATTTCGCGAATCTAAAAAAAACTTTATTGAATATTTAACAAATTAATTATTATTAAAAGTAATGATCTTTCTGAATTTCGAGCATGAAACAACGCACTTCATTCTTAAATGTAAACAACCCATAGTATTTCCAAAGGAGGAAACAATGGGAGTTTATTCAGAATTGTAACCACTTTGCTCTCGTTTAACAATTATATATATAATGTCAAACAAACCGGCAGAATCCGATCAGTAACGTATCATTTTACAGCATTATTGTGCTGGTTGACATGTGAAAAAAAATGTTGAAGTTCAGCAGTTGTAAACCACGGAATCTTAAGATATGGAGATATTATATATTTGCGCAATTTATGAGCATAATTATATTTTTGATGTATCATGTCAAGATTCATTGTTTGCTAGGATAAAAGCCTAATAACTGAGTGTTCAAGAAAGCTAATGTTAACGTAAACTTGTGAATTACTGGCCAATTCATCAGACGTTTACATTAATCCTGTTAATGTAGTATAGAAGTATGTATAGAAGTTTTCAAAATTTAATATTTACTAGTGTCAGTACTTATAATTTGTTTCAAAACATCCCTTACGTTCATTTTTCAATGCATTTTTTGTGCACAAGGATAATTCAAGGTAACGATATCCACCATTATGAAGTTCTGCGCTCTGATCTATTTCCCCGACTTATTTAACATTTCTAAGTCAGCGAGAGTTTTTATGAGTGCAGCCAGCTAGCAGAGGGCTTGTTATATATTACTGATCATCTGTCTGTAATATATCGTGCATACCAGACAAGCAAGGCCAGTCTACAAACAGGTCTTCAAGAGTAATTGTTCCCATTTATTGTGCAGCATGTGTAGATGCTCACAAATATGCTTCATTCAAAAACATGCAATCAATTCTGTATTTAGTTCACGTCCAATATATAGATTTGACACTTTCAGAGGCAAATCCAGCACCAGCGCACTGGGCGCGCACCCCTGGTGTTTAAAATGTTTAAGTAAATACGAAATGATAAAATAAAAATTGAAGAGTTAACACGACTAAATTTGTAGCCATTCGTGTATTCATTCATCCACCTCTTTATTAAATAAATTTCTCAAATAAGGGTTGTCCTCACCTTAATTATATCAATGATGCTTGCTTTCTTTGAGTTAACGTACATGTATGTTATTATACGGAAAAGATGACCATTTCAATCACTGTAGATTTAACGAACATGCACGTAATTTCAAGCAATAAATTTACAAGCGTAGTCCCCTTTTTTCCGACTTTCAAAGTACTACTGAAAATGTTTCCTTAAGTTCAAACCGTTTTCAATTACATAGTTACCCCTCCTCTTTGGGATATTTAAAGTTCCTCACATACCCCGCCCTCACCCGTTTCAAAATTTCTGGATCCGCCTTGGTTCTCTGAATGGCGCCAAACAACTCGGTTAGAGACTAAAAAATTCCATTGAAATTACACATGTACAGTTTGTACATCCCAATGGACACGTGAGAGTTTATCTATAAATATCGAATATCCCTGTCGCTGTATGCCTGTCTGCTATGTACGATAGCGACAGGAAATACCAGTCTTGCTGATAAAAGATCTGCTCGTCTGAGATTTACGGAGATGGCCGAGCGTCTGGGTGAACTAGACTTTGTCGCTGACAGATTCTGCTTTAAATTATTTACTATTTGGCTCATGTGTAAGATTCGTCCTAGATATTTGTTAGCTATTGGGTAACCAGAAAATTTGCAAATGTGGAAAAAGACAAAAATCTCCCCATAGCGCATGTGTAACATATTCAGAAACAGACGTTATGCATTTTTTAAAATTTTCCTTACAAGAATTTTTAGCCCGTCGATATTTGATCTTACCGTACACTTCTCGTAAATATTTGACAAAGTGTTGGAAGGATTGCTCCTCCTTCATTCTGGCGTTGCTTCCCTCTGCTCAGAAATCATCATGGATCAACTGCATCAATCTGGAGACACTAAGCGTGTTGGTTCCATTTGTGAACAAGTAATGTTCGTTCGTTCAATGAACTGAAAGTAGTGAACACCATTGGAAACATACATCGGAAGTACGGCAAGTTATCTTTTATTACAATGTATATAGACATTTTTCCACAAACCTCACATACCTGCAGGACACCCGTCCTCTCCAGCCCGCGCCTTAGCTGGGAATGGGCCGCGGTGCTGCCATCAATAATAATTGGGAGGCACCCCAATAGAGGGCCTCCTTGAAGAACGCTCAGGCCTGTGCAGATAGAAACAATAATTCTTCCAAAACCGAAAATAGAAACTTGTTTTTATGAAATGACAATTTAAGATATAATTCATAACCTACCGACTACCAGGCCAGCGTAAAAGTAATGGTGCCTTGCGAGTGCTTCCTCTTGAAGATGGACCTCTATAGTACCTGCATTTACATGGAGGAGTCGGTGTTTCACCTCCTCCGTGAACGTGTGAAAGAATTCCCTCCTGGGGCCGCCCAAATCTACAGCCGCTTCCCCGTGGAATGTCACTTCCAGGGGAAGACGGACATTCTCCAACGAGGAAATTTCATCAATAGCATCTTGGAAAAGATTGAGGCGGCTGATGAATATGCCGGCACTCTCCCCCTCCGTGGGGACACTTTCATCTGTAATGTCTAAATCTCTTCCTTGGAGAAAGAGATTTGAGTAGAGCCTCAGGAGATCCCTGGGATCTGTTAATGCGGCCTTGTAAAAAGATAAGTTTATTGAAATAAAAAAAGGTTTATTTAAATGCAATTTTTTCTACAATAGCTGCGACGTTAATTTCCACACTAACAAACAAAGAAAGACTTTTTATTGTTTATATTTACATTTGTATATTTGTATGAAAAAAGCATTCAAAGTAACATTAAATATGTTAAATATTGTAGTATTATACGTCTGATGTTTCTTTATTTCAAAAAAAACTAATAAAACATACACACTTTCACTTTTGATCTGCCTATTCCACACTTTTTTAACTGGACCAAATATAGCTATGTACACACTGTCTTAACTAGTTTTTTTTACACCTAGAAAGCTTGGATTGGTTTGCTCCCCTTTTGCACACATTTGAATTTCAGGCACAGAAGAAATGTTTGCAAAACGGGAATTTAACTAAGTGAGATAATTACTCGTGAGATAATTACTTACAAGTAATTGGTATATTCTTTACCATAGTTGTGAGATAGGGGAGAGGTGAACATATATAGGGTGAGAATTGGACAATAAAATTAGAAATTATAACAACAAAAATTATTATGTGCATTACAAGTTTCCATTTATTTCTTTACTTTAATAAAAAAAATAGAAAGGAAAGTGCACTTATGGGCCCGGTAAAATGTGAAAAAATAATCAAGAAAAGCAAAATTTTTCATCTCAGATCATTTATTGATATCTCAACCATGCGATTCAACAATTTTTACCACTGAACTTCATGAATATACAAAGAGCAAAGCCATACAATGTGGTACCAGGGGTCAGCCGACATTCATGATTTTCTATAGTAAATCGAGAACGGTCATTCATTTCTAAGCTTCTGTTTACTATATGAGCCTAACGTTGTGCGATTGACAAAAGACGCATTAAATATATTTATACAACTTGTGTGAAAGTAGGAAGTTTGTACAAGGCTAGGCTGGTACCTAAAATATTACAAATGTATAAACAGTTCAATGTTTTCCTATAGTAAACGAGAGCTATTTCCCTGTATGACCTATGTTGAACCCACATGTGGAATAACTTATTTAAAATACTGATAGTAACTTGCGTTCCTCAAAGGTGCTCACTGTATATAGCCAGGATTTGGAATGTATTTGGTTTTAGAATTAGAGGGTAAAGAGAGTTTAGTGTCGTTTATAAAAGTGTCAACATTTATAACATTCATCCATGACAATGAGACGGTATTGAAGTCCACCTAAATACTCTTTTTTATTAATTTCAAAATTCAAAGAAACTAATATCAATGCTTTTTTTAATGCAAGCGTGCAATTTTCTTAGTTTAATCACTATGACTTCAGACTACTACACAACGTCATTAGATTTTTTTAAACAGATAAAACAGCGCAAGAATCATTTGGCAAAAGCGCCCGTCGATGATCCGCCATCAGACAGTTTAAGTGTCGATTTAAAAGTCCGATTTGGATATCTAAAAGCATTTAAAAATAACCCCCGCCCATTTCAAGTTGGGGTATAATAAGATCTATCCCTGACGTCCCATACAGATAAGTCAAAAAGTGATTTATTTCTCAGGCTCAAATTTCATGCACTAGTAAATTAACTCACTTGGTAGTTTCCTCTAGTAGGACTTCTACCGTTCTTTTCGTTTCTGCATTGTGTCGAGCTGCAACTGGGAGGATCGAAATATTTGGGTCTTCTTCACCATCAGATTCGACTTCTGATCTAAAATTTAACTACATATATATAGGATTATTTAATAATTATTTAATCATTTCCCATCATAAACCTCTTCATTTTTGTATCTAAAAGTTGAAAAAAAAGTCATGAAATATACAAACCCATCGAACAAAAAAATTCAAAATCGATAAGACTACTCCCATTCTTAAAAACTTCTTCTGTTCTTGCAGTCAATGAAAAAAATAAGACTGGGATTGAAGTTCACCAAAATGAGACTATAATAAATCGCTCAGCTCTAATTAAATTGATAACTTACATTTCTATCCTAAAGGGGTGACTCAAGACAGACCCATAAGTCTGTCATCATCCGCTAGCACTAACCCATTTTCCATTTTTAAAACAACACATGCAGGTGACTTTCCTATTAGGGTCGCTGCATAATTTGAGAGTTCCTGTCCAAACAAATTAAGACAGTGTAATGACATACTGGTCAATTCTTGGATTGCAAAAACTTTAACTAAAACGTTCTTAATACATTGAGTTGAAATAAGAGGACCAAAATAAAAACCTACGGATATTTGTGCGTTGTTTGGAAATGTTTCTTCGAACACTCTCTCTTTGAAAAGGAAATGGACATCGACTGTCAGTGGATCATTCTCCTCATCTGTTTTTGGACATGTCGACTTCAAGACTGGAAGTTCCTCGGATAAACTACTACTGCAGGAGACAACTTCCACTTCATTTTCCTGGTAGTTTTCTTGAAATATAAAAAATACAACATGAAAAACTAAATTTCAAAAATAAAAATTTTAATTTAAAAATTAACAAACTAAACACACAAAAATATTTCGCCTTGTAGTTCTGAATAAAACCTATTAGACATCTTAGAAATACTAGTGATCAAGCTATACTACAAATAATTAGATCAAAATTAAATGAAATTCAGTGATTGATTGATGTTTGCATAAGCTGGACTCGTGGTGAGATGGCCTGACTAGATGTACATTTCAAAAAATGATTAGTTGTGATATGTATGCTCCATTAAGTGTCTGGTCACTATGACGTTGTTAAAAGTTATAGGGATAGTGTGGAAAAAATCCACTGAGTAATAATTCTCGAGTATGCCATCATTCTCGTTATTGTTTCAACAACTCAACATTATATGGCGCTTGATTTAGTTTAAATCATTAATACGATTCACAAGGTCTTTTGACCTTCTGAAATGTCATTAATTTTCTGGTCCAGAACTCCTGACACTGTGAGGATGCAACACAGCAATAAATCACGGTTTACAAACATGCAACTCTAACAATCTTCAGAATAAGGTTGTGGCACATATTGCTATTAAAAATTCATCAGTTTGAATTTTATTTATTTATTTGTTTATTCAGTTATTTATTTGTTTATTAATTTACACATATTTTGTTTTAATTTTTAATTTCATTTATTTACTTATTTGTTTATGTAGAATTTAGGTTTTCTTATTTACTTTTGGTTTGCATTGTTGGGTTTCCATGATATTCAGATCGAGGAGATATATACAATAAAATATTGTTTGCCAAACAGTTCCAATGTGGAAACCACAATTTTGTTTTAATGACTTACTTACTACATATCAAACATTACATAAGGAACAGATAAGTAAAAATATTTAAATTCAGCATAATTTTCTTTATCAAAAACATTGTCACTGAGCGGTAGAACAAACAGTAGGAACTATATGCATTTCCTACACTCTAAAACACTAATAAAAATACCCTGTTAAATTGTTGTAAAAATATAACAATTATACGTTTAAAATTTATTTTTTCCCTTCGAATATTCATAACTAAGCGTAACAGACGGACATCCCGCTTAATACATACCCTCCCAATTTTCAAGCGGGGGTATAAATAATTTAATATCTTTACTTAAAGTGTGAAGGAAAATGTTAAAAGATATGGGTGTTATTTCTTGAGTCTGAAATGAAATATTAGATGAATCATGATCCGTCACTTTCTCTTATAGATGTATAGTGTTTATAAATATTCTGTCAAGTTTAGAAACGCGCCTAGCTTGTCTGGTAATTTTTCTCAATACTGAGTACAGTGTATGTGACAAATTTACTCTCACCATATATATCAGCTTTTATCAAATGTACGCATTATTTACTTCACCTCATTTAACATAGTTTGAGAAAATAAACTGAATTAGCATTTTTTCATTGTTTCATTTCAGATGTTATCAAAAAATAATAGAATTGAATGAATATTTCTTAAACTCACTGGTATTGCATATATACAGCCTAAGACGGTCGAATCTTTTCTTCGGATCTAAAAAATTTCTGTATTTCAAGATGGAAAATTCCTCCTTTCCATCCGGGAGCATATCCACTTTTTTTCCATCTGGATAAACCAGGACGAACTGGGTATGACTCTCGAACTTCTGCTTGAAGAGGCGGTTTTGCATGGAAAACTTTTCAAATGCTGCCTTTTTAATCTCCTCCGTGGTGTTTCCTTCTGTATTAAAAGGGCCCACAAGTACAATACCTCCTTGAAGAGATAAACTGTTTGCTGAAATCCGGGTGAATTTCCCTAATTTGAACTGACCATGTCCAACCTTTAACTTAAAAAATAAAGGAGTCATTAGTATATCTACTTTGCTGTAATACACGTAGCAAATGCAACTTTTCAATAAGGAGTTTAATTTTCGAGAAAGTAAATACAGCAATAAGTATATATTTACCATAACTGGTGCTTCTTCGTCTTTTGTGCTGCGTTTTTCTTTTCCGTTAGACGATGATGCTAACTGCCGCCTGCCTATATGACTGGAAAAGTCCGTGGCGAGAGGTAATCCCATCTACAGTGTATATGAACAGACCATGTACAGTTATCGTTCATTTCTGTATATTGATACATTGAAGCAATTAAGTATAATTAGTTTCTGAAATAAAAAAAAAAAAAGCAAAGACACAACAATTTTGAAATACACACCTCTTTGTCCAACCCCACAGACAGCTAGATACAGTCGATTCTTTTTTAACCAACCCCCATCTGGCTCTACTAATTTGTCGTCTTTACTTATTATGTGGTAATGAAGTTTCTGGTCTTCGTCAGTGTAACGCAGGGAAATGATATTAGGGAAAGCACAACCTTTAGTAAGAGAAGTACAATGCCTGAATAAATGCAGGCCTACAATCATGTTACACATTGAAAATGAATATGAACTAAGTACAATATACAGCCTGTCAAAGCCAAATTAAACAACATTATATTCGTAGTGTCTCTTAAAGGTGAGAAAGTTATTTACTACTACATGTAGTAATTCATATTTATGAGAAAGGATGTACATATGCACATCACTTAGAGATATTTCTGTTCCAACAGGAAACAAAATAGGAGTTTCATCTTCAACATCGGCCCTTCTAATGGTTATAAAGGACCTAAAGTATTAAACAATAAGGTCTTACTGAACGTAATAATTAAATATAGCAATACGTAAGGTATTCAATGTATAATGAGGGATTTTGAACGATTTTAAATAATTATATAAACTAGTTAAAAACACATTGCTAGATAACGATAAAAATGAAATCAACCAAATTCACAAGACTGATAACATGTAAGAAGACCGTCATTTTGCACGTTAAAGGTTTTGGAAGAGTTATCTGCCCTTGATGAAAAGAAGAAAATTTTTGATTTCTCAAAATTTCTGTGGTAGATTATTTATTTTATTTCATAGAATAATAAAGAGAGGGTTTATGCATATTTTCTTCAAGAGATTTGTTTGAAATTCAACTTACTTTTTACAATATCTGATAGAAACATACACTGCCCATAGACTTCAATGTAAAATTCAAGTTGCAATTAAATGGAAAATAATCAAAATTTTGTGAATGCCATTGGTGGAGCATTTTTATTGGATAACATCTTGATTAAAAATATTGGATCATACATTTTTAGGTAAAAATATGGTCGTTATACATTGAATATCGTAATTAATTATCATACTTGCTATCATCATAAAATAGAATAATGATCATTGTATTCTTAGCTACATTATATTACTAGTTGTTTGTGAATGTTGCATAAATCTTAAATTAAACTTAATTAATGATATATTATATTTTGGTTCCGACTATTGCAGAAAAAAGTACTCACATTTTCAAATCGAAACCGTCCTTATTCCTCAAAAGATGAATTGGATCTGTTCTTTGTTCATGTCAGCAACGGTGTCTTAAAGTTCAATCCGCAATAAACGTCTCTGTTTATCATTCATTTAATTGAAAAAATGTGAGAACCATGCACAAAGAATTTTAATGCGAGTTAAGTGTAAACTGCCACCGGTGAAAACGAAGTCAGTTCACACATTACTAGCAGTATGAGTGCAAAAACTGATTTGAAATTTTGGTGTGAACGCTGTACACTTTATGAAATCTGTAAGAAAGCAGACAACGTAACGTGTACATAACGCTGTCACTTAACACCTAATTAAACTGTAGAGTGTCATGGCTGATATCGGCCATATTTCGAACGAAGTCAGATCACACATTACTAGCAGTATGAGTGCGAAAACTGATTTGAAATTTTGTTGTGAACGTTATATACTTTACGAAAGCTATAAGAAAGCAGACAACGTAACGTGTACAAAACGCTGTCACTTTACACTTAATTTAACTGTAGAGTGTCAAGGCTGATATCGGCCATCGTAATTCTTGCATGGGTAAATTATGCAACAACTGTGTTGTATGATGTTTCTTATACTTTCTCACAAGTTGTACAATAATCGCCATGAGGACAATCAGAATAACTGTAAATTGAGTGAAAAAGAATATACAATATATATGGTATGGAAATGAGAGATATAAAAATTATTGAAGAATGAGATAACAAAATATCTAACACAACTCCAAATGTGTAAACAAGCGTTTGCCAAATACACTGTCTTCGCTGGTGTTGAGTGCTGCTGGTGTGCTGGCGCTGATGTAGTTCACCTGAACGGTTGAGGTCAGTGTGATGGTGGGGTTTGAAGTTGATGTTGATGAGTCGAAACCACCTATATTTAAAATAATAATATACTAACATGTGCAAACCTTTAGTCAGGTTTCGTACATGGATAATCGAGCGAATTATCAAGTTAAGTGGAAGGGTCAAAGTCGACAATAATTATATGATTATTTAATGCAGTGCTTACACATCTTTGTTTTGCGATGTAGACAGCTACATCAGATGGAGCGCTGACATGATCGCATGGAATGTCTCCATTCTCAACTTCTATTTTCATTAGATTCCCCACGTATTTCTCTGGAACCAGCAATGACGCTCCGTTTGTCAATTTGAGAAATGATAAGATTTCCTGTTAGGATTTAGGGGAATAGCTAAGAGCTCAGACTCAAAAGTAGTTGAGCCCAGCTTTGTATCCTTCACAATATCAACTCTCCATGCATGATGTTGCAAAGCGCAAGCTCTGCCCATCTGATCTAATGCATCCTGGGATGCTTCAAACGCTTCTGTCAATGTAGCCTTAGACTTAGCTGGGTCAAAATTCTCAGAAGAATGAGCAAGTTCATTCATGACACAACCTAGGCCTTGCTGTAAAGCTAAAACTGCGGCGATACCCGTTAGCATCGCTTTCTGCACCGAAAGCATATTGTTATCCAGGCCCTCGGCGACCTGGGATATAACAAGATTCTTATCTGAATCTAGACCTTGCTTCTTCAAATCCTTGCCACCGTTCACGGTAACTCAGTCGGTAGAGCGCTCGCTTCGTGATCGGGAGGTCGTGAGTTCGAATCTCGGCCGCGACAGACCTAAGTCGATAAAAAATAGGTAGCAACTGTTCCTTCGCCATGCGCTCGGCACTTTGAAGTGAAAGTTGCGGGTCCTTCGGATGAGACCTTAAAAACCGAGGCCCCGTGTCACGGCAGGCGTTGGCACGATAAAGATCCCTCACTGCTCAATGGCCCTGAGTGCCGAGTAAAGGTCAAAATTTGAAGCCCTTCACCGGTATATGGTGACGTCTCTATATGAGTGAAAAATTCTCGAATGGGACGTAAAAACAATATACAATCAATCAAATCCTTGCGTTTGAGGAATACAGGGTCTACTTTAGAACAACACTACAAAGTCTGTGTAGATTCATGTAGGGGGTACTTACTTACCCTAAACTTAGGCTGAGCCTTCAACTTCATTGGTTCTGTAGTACACAAAGAAGATTGCAAGCACAACTTAGGGGCCGATTCATCTTCAAAGCCCTGGATAACTGCTGAGTCACCAAAAGCTTTGTACAGGAGAGATTCCTGTAATTGACTTGGTTTAGGCTTTCTAATGCCCCCCTTCTTGGTTTTGTACAAGGAAGACGCTAGAGCTTCCTTACTGTATGGAAGAGAAAGGAAATTTTGTCCTTTAGTTTCTTGTGTAGAGGGAGGTGACTTTGTGTCCACTTCCTCCCCCGAGACCGAACTCGGAGTCACAAACAATAATGAGGGGGGTTTGGGCCTCCTTTCAGCCTTTTTAGAACATTGTGATTCTTGGTTTAACAGAGAATCATCAACTGGGGCAAAAATAGAAACGTAGTCTGGCTCTTAGTTTCTATCTGACGACTTACGCCGAGATTGCCGCCGAAACAATAGAAGGCGCCGCCATATTTTGGCGCGGAGTTGGAGTTGACCAACTTTCTGGCCCTGAATCGCATTGTTGCGAATTAAACCACATTTGTGGCATGGGATACGGGTATGATGGGTAAAAATATCCCGGAGGTGTCTGATGGGGCTGAGGTGGCACCGGAATAAACGGTGCACCATGTTGATGGCCCATAAACCTAGACGGAGGAATTTCAGTCGAGCCCTGGTCAGACTGACCTATTTTCCTCCGCTTAGCTGGGGAACCCGAACTTTCCCGGCTTTGTGAAGGAGGTCGCTGTTTCTTGCCTCGACGCCATGTCTCCCGCTCTGGAGAGGCGTCGGAAGAATTTGAGAAGTGTTTGTCTTCGTTCACCCGCGGCAGTGCGGGGTTTTCTGAGGGATCCCCCGAAGACATAATACAGCAAAATGAACACCAAAAAACTTACCAAGTATCAAGTAAATAATGTACTTTACTATCGCGATAAAATTATCACCGATAAATCTAGTTAAACAATAATGTACAGATGAAAAGTCGAGCTGAGGCTAGACGTTGCCTTTCAAGATGGTGAACCACAGAGAAAAAAAACATGGTGATGGGCGCATGCGCGGACGTAGGGGGATCTAGAGGGAGCGTTTTTTCTCTGTGGTTGAGTTGAGGTACTAGACAGGGAAAATCCATAGGTTATTTTGAGGTAAGTATCACATGTGAAGCGAAGTAAAATTAAAATTTTCACTTTATTATCAATATAGCCCCCCCCCCCTCCCCAATGGCCCCGAGAAACACCAAAACCTGGGACCACAAGTTTAAGAAAAAATGTAAGAAGCATATACTATTTTTCATCCTAACTATGCACTTTGTTTATCTTCTCAACATTAAGGAGAAGGCAGGATTATTTAACAGAATTAATGCGTTTACACTATATTATCAATATAGCCCTAACTATACAATTAGTTTGTTCAAATAAATACTCAGGAGCAGAGAAGAAGATTTTCAAAGAATTAATGCATTTTCACTATATAATCAATAGAGCTTCGACCTATCACCAGAACCCCTGTCCCAGGGGCCATGAATTTCACAATTTTGAAAAAAGCACTCTTCCTCATCATTACTATGTACTTAGTTCATCGACTTAATACCCAGGAGCAGAGTGTGTGAAAACATTTATAACTGCATTCATGAGATCTATATACAGAAACCCACTTAATGAGACTCTCAAAATAATACGAATAAATGAACCCCATGGAAAGGAAAACTTGATAATCATCTGACATGGATTACAAAGTCTGCAGTCCCTCGACTTCCCAACTTCCTTCCCTCTGAATGATGGACGTCCTCCTAAGTCTGTTGTTCCATCCCACACATCCTGTTACACAATGTAAATCACCGACTTCCTGACCCCATGCCGTCTGAATGGGGACCTCACAATCAGGCTGTTATGCCATCCCTCACAATCTGCTAAATGCTACCCCCCCCCCTCCTCCTGAATTCATCCACTCTGAACTGTGGACACCCGTAAGAGAATG